CATTGCATAGAGAGAAGTCCAATGTTGTTCCCGGTCCTCTATTCCAGGTCCACCCATACATCATACAGTACAAGAAAGAGGATGGCACTGTTGGCTTCAGAGGTTTTTGTATCGATATTCTCGATCAACTTGCACGTGACCTTGGGTTCAAATACGAAATAAATTTCTCACCTGACAAGGCATATGGTGCGTTGATCAACGGAGAATGGAATGGTATGATTCGGCAACTTATCGATAGAGTAAGTACTCCTTACTTCAAAAAACATGAATTAGCTTTGGCAAATGTAAGGAAAACCAACTTCAAACATATTTTTGTTTTCGAAATACGAAATGCTTTTTTCCAAAGAGGCTTCGCTTTTTTAAAACATAAATTCTTATTGGCTTTCTTTTCTTCATTCAGAAAGCAGACATGGCCGTGGCAGCTCTCACCGTAACAGAAAGTCGAGAAAAGGTGGTTGACTTCACGGTGGCTTACCAACACTACACTGACGAAATGCTTATGTCCAAACCCGCTGAAGAAGATAATCTCTTTATCTTCGTAGACCCTCTGTCTCACGCTATTTGGTTCTCCTTGGCTGGTACAGTCGTCGTAGTCGGGATAATTACATATCTCTTGAATTACTTCTGTCCTTATGGCTGGAAGGACAAGAACGGTCAAGGTGCAGCTGCAGAGTTCTCGCTGTTCAACAGTTTGTGGTTTTCCTTGGCGTGTATTCTACAGCAAGGGGCCGCTGACCGACCAAAAGCATTGTCAGGTAGTGAAGTCTGTAGAAAAAAAGAATGAAAAATAACCTGAGTATCTGGCTCTTTTAGGGAGAGGGAGATGGGGAGAGGGGAAAATGAGAGCCAACTCCACAGTTCCCCCCCCCCCCCTCCTTTCTTCTTCGGGGGCCTGATACGCAGGTTAAATGAAAAACGAAAATGCAACTCACCTTGTACCTTATAATCTAGTATAATTGCATAATTGTTGGTTTTCTTCCTTTCTTTCTTCACTTGCCGAGGTTGGCAGATTATGAGATCAATTGTAAGTGCCCATTCTCTCTCCCTCTCTCCCTCTCTCCCTCCATCCCACTGTGCCTCATGCTTCTTCCCGTCAATATAATCAAGAGCACACGCAGTCTCTAAGTAAATTAAATACGATTTTTTTTTCAGGGCGAATTTTCGCAGGATTCTACTGGTTTTGTATTCTTGTGTTCGTATCAACCTACACAGCAAACCTTGCTGCGTTTTTCACGGCAAAAAGTGCTGCAACCACGATCAACAACATCCAGGTAACAAAAAGTTTTCATGAAAAAATGACTAAAGACAATCGCATTAACGAGCTTATTGAGCCAACTCCCTGCTTCAAAAATTTCCATGAGCAAATGATGGTAGCTGAAAGAATGCGTTCGTACAAAAATATCAAAATTCAAATTCTGAAATATATAACGAGCACGAATGTATTATAAAAGCAACCATTATAATTTATAATCATATAATTTAATAATCTATTAACTTACAAATAAAGCACCTTTTCCGTGCTCCGTTTAGTAAAACGGCGCGCAGGAAATGACGTAGGCACACTGCTTGAGTGTTTTAAATGATTCCAAAGTGCTACATGTATTACTAGAACAGAGCACGAAAAGAAGCCGTTTTATATATAGAAAGAAAAAAATCGGTTGTAGTTTTCAATGCTGTTTTTTCGCATTTCTTTGCAAAGTTTGCTGCACGCGAGGTTGGCGTCAGGTGACCGTGCTCCGTTCACTAATACAGCACAGTTTACTACCAATCAGAGCGCGCGCACTATCTCAACTATATAATAATATCGAGTAATTATATTGCAGGATGTCATTAATTCTGATTATGACATTGGAGTGACGTTTTCATCGGCACTCTACTCATACTTCATGACAACGGACTATGAAAGCTACCAGCAGTTGTGGAATCGAATGAAAAATAGAAACACCTTCCCCAACACTAGCATAAATGGGATAGAATGGGCTAGAACGAAAAATTACATCCATATTGCTGATGGGCCAGTACTGCGATATGCTGCCACCCAACCACCTTGCAATCTTAGGACAGGTAGGCATGCAGTAACCTTACTTACTACAGATTAATGCTATTCATATCAATGATGATCCCATACTAAGATGTTCTGCCACCCAACTACCTTGCAATCTTAGGGCAGGTAGGCATTCAGTAACCTTACTTACTACAGTGTATCCCATTCATATCAATGGTGATCCCATAATAAGATGTTCTGCCACCCAACCACCTTGCAATCTTAGGACAGGTAGGCATTCAATAACCTTACTTGCTACAGATTGATGCTATCCATATCACTGATCATTCCATATTTTCCGAATTTTTTTTCGATTTTTTAAGAGTTTTCGCTCACAATATATAAATGGTTTTTTCTTCTTCTTCTGTTTAACGATGAGATAATTGATTTTATATTCTTTTAAAGCTCCTGGCCTAAGCACTCCGAAAGGCCTCGCATTCGCTTTACATCCTGGCAGCATCTACACGAAGAATATGACCCTAAGCATGCTGCGCATGCGCGAGAAAGGCATCCTCGACGAGAAGCAAAACTTTTGGTGGGTTACAAATGCAGTATGTCCTAAAGAGGATACGAACTGTAAGTAAATACACCTATTTCCTAAAGCGATAGGCAGTTAGTTATTCCGAGAATGAAAGTGTTTCGTCGACTACAAACAACATTGAATCAGTCTCAACGCTAAGGTCCATGTTCTTGACGAGAATAAAAAGCAGAAACGCAAGTCATTTCAGCTATTCGTGGATCTCGGAATGACCTATCTCCTATCGCTTTTCGCCTATTGCCTATTGCCTATCGCTTTGGGATGACTTTTTAAAACTAGGTGTATACTTATCTAGCCAGAACGCAAAAAATCAAGCCCATAACTAAAACATATTACCCTTTTTTACAGCGTTGGAGAGTAAGAAGGTTCACCTAAAGAACATGGTTGGTGTTTACATCGTGCTTGGTGGAGGAACAGTTATTGCCTTTGTTGTACTGATTGTAGAGATACTATGGAAACGAAAAGCTGAGGAGAAATTTGAAAAGCTTCGCAAAGTCTCTCTCAAAAAAACGCTGAAGTAAGTGGTGCAAAAAAGAGTTAGATGCATGTCATCATCCAACATGGTGGCCATGTCTTTTGTTATATCATCCAACATGGTGACCATGTCTTTTGTTATATCATCCAACATGGTGGTCATGTCTTTTGTTATATCATCCAACATGGTGGTCATGTCTTTTGTTATATCATTCAACATGGTGGTCATGTCTTTTGTTATATCATCCAACATGGTGGTCATGTCTTTTGTCATATCATCCAACATGGTGGCCATATCTTTTGTTATATCATCCAACATGGTGGCCATGTCTTTTGTCATATCATCCAACATGGTGATCATGTCTTTTGTTATATCATCCAACATGGTGGTCATTATTTTTTTGTTTTATCATCCAACATGGTGGCCATGTCTTTTGTTATATCATCCAACATGGTGACCATGTCTTTTGTTATATTATCCAACATGGTGGCCATATCTTTTGTTATATCATCCAACATGGTGGCCATGTCTTTTGCTATATCATTTTTTTCTGATTGCTTTTGGTTTCAGGACGCCAGTCATGCCCTTTAATGATAAGGATTCTAAGACATTACCAAGAGGAAACGGAATCTAGAGTAACAGATGGAATGCTTTTCCAAGCGCAGGATAAGCAATCTTTAACACATTTTTCGTTTGCACGTCATAGCCGCTATGTTGGAAAAATGTGACAAAAACATTTTTATATTTCTTTCATTTTCTCCAAAATGGCGGCCAATTCTTTTGTTATATATTTACGTTCATGTCTTTTTTTATTTTTCAATTTTTGGGGGGATGATTGTATACCATTGTGGACTTATGTATTATTCACTATATTTCGTACTTTAATCTACGTATAGGCTTTTGTATAATATAACCTAGTTGACGATCATCGTTTTTTGACAACCATTCAAATCTCAATTTGACTTGTTTTCTTTAACGCCTCTTATTACGATGTAATAGTATGGCGAACGCTTTGCATTGTTGTCTAGCATCTGAATGAATATATAAGTTTTCTTCTTCACACTTACATAATTAGAGATGAGATGACAAAAATTAAATATTAGAGTCAATTTTCATTTAAAATTTCAAAGCAGGAATCTCTCAAGTCGCAAGCCCATTGCCAAAATATTTCGCACATTTACAGTACGCGTCCGATGCACTTGTGTTCAACTTACAGCAATGGAGTGGAGTCAGCGTTTGTCAATCATGTGCCAACCAGAGATCATGATTGGCTGGTAAACCAAACCAAACTTTTAAAGAAACTTTGTGAAAATAGTTGGCATATAATGGAAGGGGCACCTCCGCTTTCTGATTATCGTTACGATGGTTTTGTTAGTAAACACAAAGTATTATATAGAAATCAGTTGCACTTGATTTAATAGTAAACAGGCTTTGTTATTTAGTTGGAGAACGTTGCTCCCATTCTTCCCTTTTATTCGTAATTCCCATATTTTGTAGTTCACACAGAATTTAACGCATGCATTCTTTCGTTTTGTCAGAGTCACAATAAACAATAAACAACATAATATTCAACTCCCGTTATTCTGTCGTCGTCCAGTTGTCCCAGTTGAAAAGACGTGGCTATGGGTTATTTTACAATAACGCACAAATTTCTCGCGCGCTGATTGGATATTTTTTWATCATCAATAAGAGGACAGACAGATAAAGTAGTGTACGGCTACGCCTCTTTGATCCACACTACTTTGAAAATGTGATGACGCAATTTATCGTCAATAAGAGGACAGACACATAAAAAACTGATGTCTATTTGTTAAACAGACCATTTTCTAGTTCCAAATTACCTCTGTGTTACTCGATTGCAGACTCGTTTACTTAGGGTAAGCCTCGTATCAGTGTCTAAATATTCGTAATTAGCAACAGTAAAGTAAGGAATGCACAACTTCAATAATACAAACACTTTGAATTTTCACGGACCTTCACTGGAATACATGAATATCCTGCACAAAATTGAGTCTAACCCTGAGCAACAGGGAGAGCTCGAAACTGTAGTATTTGTTTTAATGTCTTGAGACTATGTAGCTCAAACCATTCTGTAGAGAGTAGTGTATAAAGAATGTCTTCCTCACGTGATATTGTGTAATGTTACCATTGGTTGGATAAATAGATGACGTCAAAAAATTAGTGCTAGTTTTCATTCTTTATCATCAGCTGGCTGAACAGATTCTGTCCTAGAAAAATAATCATTATTCTATTTTAAGAAACAAAAAAGAAAAATGATTTGGAGCACTATATCTGGGCATAAGTTATAATATATAATATTGGTCAAAAAACCTATTTCCATTGGACCACTATGAGGTTTCTTAAATCTTATCATGTGACTCAATGCAATGGCAGATCATCCTCATCCCTTTGAAGTGAATCCTGTGTGAATCCGGGGACATTATTTAAGTTCACAATACCACGTTTGCATGATGCTGTCATTCGACTCCCACTACCAAGATGCAAGATGCAAGATGCAAGATGCAAGATGCAAGATGCAAGATGCAAGATGCAAG